CAGCCCAGCGATGAGCAACGCAAAATGTGAAGGGGTTGTCCCACCTACAATACCATAGGCGACTGAAAGCCCTGGGAGTGTATAGCTGAAGACATCGACATCTACGGGGTGAACTCATCCTGGCGTTCCAGATTTTGACAAAACCCGGTCGCGTTTGCCACTACCTCTTGAAGCTTAGCTGCAACACAGTATTAAGAGGTCTTAAATTGAAACTTGCCACTCAACATAGTTGGCTTGAGTTCCGCCGGAATTATTTTTCCCTTCGAGTTTGTCAACTGTGGAACGCTCTTACGACCTTCGTCATTTCCGTGCCCATGTTACCTATGTTTAAAATATGACTTGCTGATGCTTTACACTATTTACATTGCTTGATCTGATTTCTATTCATTGTGCGACGACAAGACGCAGACAAACACTGTGCTCACAACGAAATTGAGGTTGACGGATATACCTGTGTTAACGTGGATAATATAGTGACTCCACAGATGCGTTTTTCTCTTTTGTGTAACTTCATTGAACTAACTTTATTCCCACAAACCAGCACGGTACTTGGATTTTTATCCGTATTACACGACTATTTCATTGTTCCATTGTTTGAATTCAGCTGCAAATTCAGCAGAAGTTATGCATTATTTCCAGCAGTCTGCATGCCTTGTCACAACTTCTTGGGCACTTTCCAACGTCAATGCGCTATCAGCTAAAAATCAACGCTACATACCAACGTTTTAAACCCCAATAACAAGACGATCCTAAATCATATCATTTATGCAGTTTCCGAACTCCAGTATTCCGTCAACTTCCGAAGCTCAGTAAAGAATCATCATCGCCAACAGCTGTACCTCAGCCATTTGAACTGACGATTCGCCACCGTACCACAATGGTGACCTACGAAACAAGGAATAATAAGAGATGGAGAAGGAAGACCTACCGAAAAACCGTAATGCCCTAAGCAAGCATTCAGGATCAAGGCGGCTACACATTTTCAGCAACATACTATCACAGACAACTGGCTATCATGCAAAGATAAGGCGGCATCTGCAAAACAGCTACCTTGTAATTTTCATTGCCCCGCATCCTAATCAGCCATTACCACGCAAATAATTCAGTAAAAAATACACTTTAAAAACAGGCAGTCCGACTAGGAGACAGCAGCAGACAGGTTACTGGTGTCAATTGCGAGCCATGTTCTTTAACGTCTCGAGCCAAGCATAAGATTTATCATGTGGACTCCAACCTGGAAGACGAGGCGAACCAATGGCACCCTATTTGGTCGTCAGTGACTTCATTTCCCGTTAGCAAGTTAACTTTTTCTTACCTCGAGTATTGCGCTACCCTACATCTGGCGTACGTAGTACTTGCTCAAGCCAACGCAACTTATACCGTGCTATCGGTTGTTCAAAGCGAGTAGCCTGATTATCACTGCCTAGCACTCATCTACGTACAGCATGGTCTCGGACACGTTGGTGACATCCGATACCGGCAATGATTCGCAGACAAGGATGAGCAAAAAATATAATCCTCAGATCGAAGGACTAAGTCTCACTCCCATAGCTTAATACGACCCTCATTGTGCCGTTGTAAACACAACCTTTCAGACGGAGAGAAACCAATTTCTGACGCCACAGATGTCACAGATTCAAGAAGACACTTCTAGCTTTTGCAGTACGTGAACTAACTTCAGCCGTTGATGATGCAGCAGCCAAGGTAAGGGAATTGATCAAGTACCTCGAGTTTCTTGGTCTCATTGGTCAAGAGGTCATCAAATGGCTGGTGGTTCTGTAAAAATGTTTTGCATTTTAAAGTTGCAAAGCGTTTGCAAATGATGGGATCATTCTAGGAAACAACTGACTGTCTATCCACCCTGAACGCTGGCAGATATTGCACATAAAACCGCTGCACAATCCTTGCTGGTTTTGGGTTGCAGTTATTAGAGATTGGTGTGGCCAAATCATCACATTGTTTGGTTCAGGTTAAACCCGGCGTCACTGAGCTGCCTCACTAAATAAGAGGTTCACCTTGCGGTTATCACGGCTAATTTTGTTAGCCGAGAAAATATAACTGTTCGGAAGCTGAATGTAGTGGTTCCAAGCACCTGATCACGCATTGTACTCTTCCTACTTTGCAATGGAAGCCATGGTGGGTTCCACTAAACCGTCACGTAAAAGCACACGCTGTGATGTGTACACGTGGTCCAACCTCGTGTTTCGCTTGGTTACACGCGCTTTCGATAATACACGAGCCACGTGCGTCGACCGACGGACAGTGTCTCGTGAAAACCAAGCAAAACCAACTGTCGCATGCCTGATAGGTGGGCGAGAAAGCTGGTTGTCAATGCACGCGTGTTCGCCACAAAGTGTGCTTGGGACAGACCCCGCGAACGGAACAGCCGAAAGCTGATGAAATCGCGCGTCAGACATCATGTACGTTGCGATGCCCCGCGTAGGCGGATGAAGACTGGCGTGCCCGAGCAAGACGGTGAACTGGCCAGACGGAGCGGACAGTCAAGTGTGCAGTGTGGGCGTACGAGGAAGACAGGTAGCCAAATCCGCTAGGCGGTCTTTAGAGGATTAGTGGGACCGACCGACCGACCGTTCTCGGTTCTAATACAACTCTGGTCGGCTGAATTTTCTTCTGTTTTCCTTCCTGTCGGGTTGGCCAAGGCGTCAAGCCGAACAGGCAAAAGGGCACAGATTTACCAGCAGGCGTGGACTGACCGGTCGATTACGGGTACAGCGTTATGACAGTGCCTTTTCATTAGAGATATTATTCATATGCATCGCCGTCCACATGCGGCGCCGCATCCCAGTCCACTAGACCGTGGGTGCCAGCACCGTCTGCTACAGCTAAATATCATTTGCAGTATGGTTGGTCAAAACCCCTACCTTGTCGCGGGTTTTGGCCACACGAATAACAATGCCTGGCATAGCCTAGTCAAAAAGCTTGGTTTACTGATGAAATTCCTCACAAGCACACTCAGCTAGACAACCGCTGGACGTTCGGAAAGACACGGAACGGCCGTTTCTTTATTCCGGGAATCGTCGGCAGTGCATATTCCACCTGATTTCTACTCCGTTTATTAATCCAACAAACTGGACTCCTACGATCAGTACAAGAGGTGTTTGATTGAATCTGGGTTATTATTAGCATTTAATGAGTGTAAAGTCCGATACGTTTTCAACTGACAGAGTACAGTGAGAGGCGGACAATATTACTCAAAAAAGTTCAATTGAGCACTCTAAGCCATAGTGGAAATTAAAAATGTATGGGTTTCCCCAACTGACCGGCTCTATACCAAACAGACTTAAACACTTCTACGTTGATCACCGAGCAGCACAGTATGTAAGCTTAAAGCATTCTCGAATGCAGCCACACAGTAGCCACTTCCGTCCGCTAGCCTCGCTTTGAGAATCCGTAGAACTATGAACTTGAAAGTTAGGTGGCGTAGCTTGCTGAATCGACAAGAGAAGAGGCCTGCAAACAAACCTCAAGAACGATTTGGATTGTTCGTCGTTAACCCCAAGTGCACGGTATAGTTTGGTCACTAATGATGCTGCAGCTGTACATGGAATGTTACTGTTGCTTTGGTCAATAATCATTCATCATCATCATTATCATTGTACACTTTAGCTAGAGGTTGGAAACACCTTAGCTACTGTGCCGCAATACCTAGAAGAAAAAGGAGAAAAATGCAGCAGGTGCAAGCCGACTGAGCTACTGGTAACGGATAAGCATCGTTCCGGTAAGCTACCTGCCGGCTACTGTGCAGCAAACAAAATTACTATGCAAAAGTATATAATGCTAAATAGTGAGATCGTGGTTGCAGGCGAGGCTAAAAGGCATGCGGTGTGACAAACAAACTCACAGCACGAATGCCACTGAGGTCGGCTGCTAGCCATGTCAGCAAGTGTGTCCAACCAAACGTGTTCATCGTCTTTCGGACCCCAACCAGGAAGCCGAGACGCTCCAACCGAGGCCAGCTCCGAAGTGAGGGCATTCATTCCTCTGGACCAAGTCATCGCTTGGCCACCCCTCCTCTTCTTCTATCCACCCCCCCCCCCCGGCGAGCATACAACGCACGTCGCTGGAGTCGGTGGGCTGACGCTCGTAACCTGTGGCCTAGCCATCGGAGCGTGGTGCGTGAAATGACGCTGCTGAGCGGTTCATTTCCTTTTCCTGTATTGCAAACAAGGCGTCGAACATGCTCGTTGCTAACACAGTGTTCCCACCAGATGTGAGCTAAATTGCGAAGGCACCGGTGGTCGAACGTAACTAGCCTCTTCAGGTCCGCTGCTTTAAGCGGCCAGGTTTCACAATCGTACAGTAAGTTGGAACGTACCGCTGCATTGTATACTCTACTCTTCAGGGTGAGAGTGATGTCGCGCTGGCGCCATTTGTGGCGAAGGTTAGCAAAAGCGCCCCGAGCTTTTTCCATGCGATTAATATTAATCTTGAGTGAACATTAATAAACAATAAACGGTGTATTCCTCGACTGCGTGAAACACAATCCAACTGAATGGTCTGATCAATTAAGCTTGAGTCCGTCACAACGCAGAAATTTACATATCACAACACCTGCTGGCCAATATTGCATCGGTGAAACAATTGTATTTGGCGTTTACTACTCAGTATCATGGTCTACCTAAGCTACGCATAGCTCAACGCTACACGAGCTTTAACGAGGTAGTTCGTCCAGGAACGTTACCATTGATGACAACTGCAAACCATGTCCTGTAAGACCTCGAGTATGGTCGATAGTTTGATACTATGGCTTCGAAGTAAGTCTATAATCTCGCTTTAACTTAAATCGTGATGCCCAATGTTGTATACGCCGAAAAGGTGTTTAAACTCAGTGGTCCACTGAGGTTACAGGACGAGTTCGGTCTTCCAAAAATGTTGATGGGGACATTTTTTAATTGAGACATTAGGCCGTCCTCATGAGTTCAATATATTCTTTCAGTGGACTCATTCCCACGAAATGTATTTTCCTTTCTCTTAATCAGTGCTTACGCGATTGGGTTCGGCGATACATCCGCAGCCTGGTGAACACAGCTTCTGGTGGTCCAAGTGGTCAATGTATGAAGGGTACCAACCCTAAAAGCACTTCGAACGAGCAGTGCACTGGAAAGCACGAGAGTGCCGTCGCTCCTGTGAATGTGATGAAATCCGCCAGAACGAACCAGCAGAGAAGATCCGCCCCACTACCGTCCACTGTCAGTTCCACAAGCGTTCACGGTGCCGCCATAAATTCCAACAAATCCAGCGGCGCCCAGAAGGAGCTTCGAACGTCTTCGCTACCGGAGAGAAGATGCCCAGATGCGCAGCGATACACATGGAATAATCCCGTTCTGGTAACAACCAATGATTCTCATTCCGTAGCACCAAGAGCTTTGGAGGCATTGGAACACTGGAGCGTATTTTCAGGCAAGCTTGACTGTGCCATGACTAGCCTGCGATCAAAAGCGCTGCAAATGCACTTGGAACAGTTCGATGCAACTAGTCCGGATGCTTCACTCTCAGCAGTGCTGTCTACCGAGGGTGGGAATTGTCAAAGAAAATTATCCACTAAAGAAACCATTTCGCTCAATGTCGTAGCTTGTACGAACAATATCAATACGTCAAATGAGGTCTCCACTGATCACACCAAGTATACAGGTGAAACACTCGGAGGGAACAAAAATGGAAGGTGAAGGTTCTTTTTCACTTAACCGTAATACAGTAGATGAAAGAAGCTACTGTGAATACCCTGGAGTGCGACTATGTAGTTTGGGCAATTAGTAACATCGTCATTCTTACTACCAACAATTATCGAAAATAATGGTGGGCATTGCAAAGTTACTTGAATGATAGACAAAGCGATTAGAGATAGCAGATGGATCACCGCTATTGAGGACCAATCGGTTTTTCAATACAACAGCAGTATTTCTGCTACATGCTTCCACTTCGTCAATGTCGTATGGTGATTTTGGGAACACAACATCTGATCGGATAGCCTAGTGTAGGCTTTCATCTTCACTAACGCTGAGCAGAAACGTCATTGCATTAGGAAAAGTGTTTCGTATTGGGAAGCAACAGAAATGGCGTTGCGGCCCATAGGATAAACGTGAGACAGGCACATGTTGATGCAGCCAGTCAGATACAAGGGCTGGTGTGTGTTTTCAATGCCTACTGAAACTCAATCAGTTTCGCAATAATCCTCTTGTATTCTTCCTACACACTTCCATTCCAACGATCCTTTACGGGATCGACGAATACTTTACATCTCACAGGACCTCTTCACATGGGCTCTCATCTTCACTGCTCACAAGCCGAAACGTCATCAAATTAAGGAAAGTGTTTTGTATTCGAAAGTGGCGGAAAATACGCACCGCAATTTACACATCAAACATAAAACAGGCACATAGTGAGGCGACAATTCAAATACAACGATAAACAGACGTTGTCCAAAGAGGGCCAGAGAAGCGCTGACTAGACACAGCAACAGAAGAGGCACTAAAAAAGATAAAATAATGTATTTTGACCGTGTATGTGGATAGTAAATCTACTAATGAAATCTAGCACTCACGTTGCATTTCGCCACATTGTCAGAAATCATTAAGCAGCATCGCTGGATAGGGGGATTAGTTTGCTGCTGGGTAGTTGTATCCATTTTCGCTGAAGTAGCGAACATGTGCAATGCAGTTCTGACGACAAAAGTGGAATCATAATTATCTCACCATACTAGCCAACCGTCGGCATTTTTCTTAAAATCTATATATACCATTCCGAGAATTTGTACACAATCCTCTACCAAAGTGCACATATGAACAAGCAGCTTTTATTGCCAATATTCTATGCAGCTGTACTTCGTTTGGAGAGCATGTGTGATGTGGGTACGATGAGATTTAACTGAGCCCTCTGTCAACCCTACCGTTTAGCCTAGAGATGAACCCACTATACCATCTATTTTGTTTCCACCGTCCACATGGTATAGCTCAGCTTCATAGATACTGACTGCCACTGACTGCGTAAGATTTATTGACAAAACATTGCTAAGTGAAGCCACGGAGTTATCCGTGGATATACCAAGGAAGAATGCAACACTCGTCCAGAAGATTTAATTGAACTGACATACTCCATCTTCTAAGGGATTGAGCACGTCATCGGGAACAGTTTGTCTAAATTGGCGCAACTCAGAAGTTCGAAATGACGTCTTTTTCGTCCAATGGACGATGTCTTAGTTTCCTCGATCTGACTTCCTTCGCATGCGTTCCTGTTTCTTCACATCCTCTTTCCTAGCTCATTACTGTCACAGTGACACTAACGCAAGTGGTTGGATCCACCCACATTCCAATATGCAATCATATTTAATCTGAACGTGACTCATTGACGCGTTTAGGCACCTGTTAGCTCTGTTGTGATTGGCTCTCTATCAGGCGAACTAGGTGCCTAGTCGCTCCACATTGACTAATATGCTAATGGAAATTCGTGCGACGTTGCGGACCGCGTCCGACACTATGTGCGGAGCGCAACCAGGTCATCGTGTATGCATTGTTCTGACTTACAACGTGCCATGGTTGGCGAGGTCCGGTTCAGGAATTGCCTGTCGCTGTGGCCTCCATAGGACAGCCACTGGAGGCGTGCGCCTATTGAGGGACCATGAGTGGCTCGCGCTGCACCACCCACGGTTCCACCGACACACCCCATACCCGACGTATATGCGAAGGAATAAGGTGGGGAGGCATGCGGATGGGATCAAGGTTTCATCAACGGAGCCGGTCCACCCTCCTTCACAGGGAAAACAAGCACGCTGTATTTGGGGAAACAAGCGCACACAAGGCGGTGGCTGGACCGTTGCTCGCTCCACAATGGATTGAAGCACTCTTCGAGCCTAACACGACTAAGAGGATTGCGCACCCCGTCCCATGCAGAAACGATTCACAGTCTCCTGGAGCCAATAATCGAGCTAAAGTGTGTTAGATAGGTAGGCACCTAGTCAACATGCACATCAAGCGCAGCCACATCAGTGGTATGAAATAACCAACGTAGAATTCAAAGGAATGCAAACAAGCAAAATTAACAGAATATTAAGCAGAATAACCGCATAGAACGAGCCAGGTAAAGTGGAAGAACTTTTATCCAGATTAGAAAGACCTAGATTAAGCGCGATATACACACAGAGTGGTATACACAACTCTAGTGTGCTCATGAATATCGGTATCGACATGAGACTGAATGCTGCGTACATAGACAAGGCGCTTGAACTGGTTAACTCTCATACGTACTAACATTTTGACTGTTCCCTCGAAACAGAAGAGTGTTGGATTCTTGGGTAACACAAAATTTGTAATAAGGTTTATGCTCAACGGCTCCGAGTTAGCCCAACAGTAACCGGGTCTTCCAAGCATCATTTTGCTCTAAACGGAAAATATTCTCGTACTTTTGGGACCACTATTCGTGTGTGACACCAATCAATTCGTCAAAAACGAACCGATGTTGCAATTGCGTTCACTGTAGGTCGTGGAGCCGGTCCTGAAAATGCTGGCTGAATGAATGTTCATCTTTTGCGATACAACTCAATTAACTACAGCTGTGCTTTTTCAAATTAATTTTGCTCTTACTGTAAAGGGGGGGGTGCCTGCACCTGGTTAGATAAAGTGGCCATGAATGTTCAACGCTTCCGTCGCCAACAAATGTTGCGTTGGGCTTTGCGATTGCTTCCACCCACCAACGGCAGTGAGAACGAGAAGAAACAGGAGCAAGATTCAGGGTTCTTCTTACAAGCAAACAACATCGTTACATAGCATGACGTGTAAATGGAACCGCCAACCAGAGCGCTGAATGCGTACGAACAGACAATACCAGTAAGGACAGACTTTCGGATGCAGACACAGCAAGCGAAGTGGTAGCGTTACCATCCGAGTAGGATTGTGATCCATGAGCAAAAATGACGGCACTAAGCCGCCAACGGGGCTAACAAATGGGTACGTTAAGAAACAATGCATGAGCACAGCAAAATGAAATTCAAAGTCGTAAAGCTTTACGGTATGCCCACCTGAATTATTATTTCTCTCCTAACAAAAGTGATCGACCGAATGAAGATGAGGACTCGGTTTGCATTTCCTCATCTTCTTTTCGTACGGATATAGTAGGTTTGTGGTGGTCATGGTTGGGTAAGGAGAGAGTATAGCAGGGGTCACAGGAGTGAAACTGGATATTCGGTCTATCTTTCGTAGCAGGTTGTTCTTCCTAAGTTTTCTCTCATGAGTTTTTGCGGCTGAGTGCGGATCAAGACCGTCCTTAATACATCGCCAAATAATGGAAAAGAATATTGGTTTTACGTTGCCTCGCCCTCTACTGGAGCCAACAGGTCCACATTTCTATTGTTATCATTTGTAACATATTCCCACTATGTAACCTTTCGGTAGCTTTGAAGACGGCGGTATACGCTGTTTTAGTACGCATTCCGCTCTTGAGATTCCAATAACCTCACCAGTTCCTTTCTTTTACCTGTGTAAAGGAAGGGTACGGAGATCCAAATCAGAGATGTAATTGCGAACGCAGATTGCTGGAATTTACACTCCTCTGCGTTGCATGAATCCCTACTCAGTCCTGTTCCCAAGAAGCGACAGCAAAAGCAACGAAAGCAGTTCGAAACACGAAGTGGAACGAAAATTCTGCCACCTGCAATGTTGGCCAAAAGTAGTCACAGTTCCCGGACCAGCTGGCCGTACAAATCAGTTAAATGGGAAACAGACTACGACCGTCAGCTGCTTGAAACGCTTACTAGGAGATATTTCACGAGACAAACATCGACTAGATACGGGCGTTCGAGCCACTTGCAAGGCGGCGGCGTTGGCGGCGGTCGCGCAAGACAAATAATCCCTGAGGTGGCTGTCGAAGAAGGCAACTGTTTTGACTACTTCACAACCAAGTCCTCCAAGCTTTTCTCCGTACACAAAGACCGGAATCCTACCGTGAGTTTTGAACATTTTGGGACAAACGGGCGTTTGCTTTCGATACATTCCTCATGCAGTTACAATAAGCACAGCGAAATTAGTTGCTTCCATGTTGCCTCAGCACATATAACTGCGGGATGCAAGCTGTAAGTGCAAGTTATGTTAACGATCCTCCCCTCGGGCAATCACCAACATTCAGGGTAACGCTTGGGAGAATTGCCAGACTAGGTGTGTTTGTCCCCAGTCGCATCTGAACATTTTGAGCTCTTTATCCTTCCCATGAGAACAGTACTCGATCCGAACTGCTTATGATGTTGCGGCTTGTCTGCCGGATTACCCTTGGGAAACTGCTGTTAAAGGCGCTAACCAAAGAGTGGGGCTAGACTAAATCACACCTGACCACTTGGCCATGTCAAAATCAGATACCTTTGTCTGCAAATGCTGGGTCACCATTCCGAGGTTATCATTGAGCACAAGGCACGTGAGCTTCGGAACGATGAAACGCCCTCTGAATAATTTTCCAAATATTTCTCGTCGTTCCATTGCCGCCATTTGTGACGAACTTCACTCAGCCGATCCAAGCCCCTTGTTACTTACTTATGATATTAAATGTGTTGCCCGGTCGAAATGGGATCGTGGGTGCGGATGAGAAAGCCTTAGTCACAATCGATGAAAGTTTCTTCACGAACCGTATTCATTCAGTGGGGGAACTGGGCATCTTTGTTGCTATTTCGATTCTGGTGCTCAGATGCGCACGCATGACTTACATCTTGTTCGATAATTATTAGGTATGAGCAGCCAAGGACGTCCATTATTAAGGATGAACCTGCTCTTAACCGCTTTGCGATGATGAAACTTGCCTCTTACGGATAGCGACCCAATTAACAGAATTGGACACCCACTATATCATCACTGAGCACAACATCGTCGCATGCTGTATGACACAGTATGTACTACTATATCCCACTGCTGCAAAAAGTTTCTTGGCCTGACCTATGCTTTCCTGATTCATTTACGATTACACTTAAGGGGCAAGGTTCATGTAAGCAGGGCGTGGTTTCAAGACCCGATTCAAGCTCTATTCGGCAATTCCCTTTCCATAGATACGGTATACAACTCGGAAACATTCTTTGCGATACATGTAGCGCAAACACCGCCACACTTGGCACTACATACATAGCGACTGTATGTCTCGGGTGGTTTGTTCGATGTCGCATGAATTGAGTTGCTCCTTTTCACTTAAGTTATCTATATCACTTTGAACAATGGACCAATGGTTTTATTTGGGTTAAAAAAAGCTAAATCTTAACAGCTTCCTCAGGGTAATTACGTTGAATGTTCAAAATAGAGAAAAATTGTCAGCAAAACTGGGTTTATACAGGTACACTCACTGCGGTATACGTAGTATTAAGTGTGAATGCAATATAAATTCATAAGGAGTGACGTCAAATGAAACGTGGGTAATAAATCGTACCGCATCCTGGGGAACACAGATAGGACGTGATGTTGTTATATCATACCAAGTCAAGAATGAGCTAAAGGTGTCCTTCATGGTTGCATAAAGCATATCCAAGCCTTCACAAACCTGAGTTGGATGCCCAACCTCGGCACGCACGCGCCCACAGAAGTGCAAAGAATTAAAGCTCCATTTATGAGGATAGAGAAAGAATTTAAGGAAAAACATGGACAGTAATTGATTGATGTTTTGGAGTACACGCTGTGTGTCTGGATTGCGGCACGCAATTTCAACTCTGACCTCGCTTGACTGAAGTCAACCTATGTTATTCCAGTCGTCGACCGGTCGCCGAGTGGTCTAGGCGACTGGTTTGTAACCGTAGGTTTACCGGTTCTATACCATTTTACACGCATGTTAGCGCATTGTAGCAAGCTTTTAGCGTGACACATTTTCGAAATCGCGTGCAGTGCTTTCAAGTTAGTGTGATTTCCATCAGAAAGCCATCAAAATGGAACAGAAGGTGGTGCTCGACCACTTTCATTAGATTGTCTGTCGCTTATGCTGGGGCTTCCAACCGTTTCCCATTGGGTAACGTCCCATGACCAATGAGAGTGTCAACGACGGCAAAACAGCGTTCTTAGCCTCGGTAACTTAAAAGCACTGCACGCGATTTCGAAAATGTGCCACGCTAAAAGCTTGATACAATGCGCTAACATGCGTGTAAAATGGTATAGTCCGCGTGGAAAGGGGGGTGGGTGGGCGTCCTTGAGGTACACTCAGCCACACTCGTGACTGCTGGTGGTGTGCCAGCGAAGCGCCGTTACGGCGTATAGTTGGCGATCTATTTCTTCTTTTATTCTATTGCTCCAGTCATTGGGACTGTATTCAAAGGAGAGCGTTTAGGTGTTACTTTCCCTCAGCTCCGCACTCCATGACCAATTTCGTCTCCTTGCTCTGACTCATCAAGTAGAAACAGCCTGCGTTTGGAGTATAGTTCAGCACGTAATGGTTGAGAACTTACCCCTGGTCACTGGGCCAATGAGCTTTTCCATCAGCGCTAGGCACAGCTAAGAGGAAATCGGGAAAGGCGCGCTGTATAGGATAGCAACACCAGGTCTTGGGCATTAATATCATCACAATGCTAATTTTGTAGTTAGCACTCCAACTATTAAGTTTTCGTCACTTCTAAAAGCCTTCTAAACATTGCTGTTGGCGAAGGCGTGTACAGCCTTCGCAGCTGTTCTAAGCCCAACGGTTGGTACCAGCGCTGAACGGAGTACGCATAAGAAATGAAATCAATCTCAAGGCGAAGCGTAGCGAGACGCAGCCAGGTAAGGTTTTCCGCCGCGGAAAAAGGTTCGATCTGCTATTTTGTGTTTTGGATGCAGTCCCTATTATCACACTAAGTGTGCTTCCTTAAAGGCAAATGAAATGAAGAACAATAACACAAGCTCTCTTTGCTTCTTCGTTCAATGTATAGCCCTCCCAGTTACTAAATGCATAGCCATTTTTGCGCAGGAATGCGATCACCTAGTGACGATGATCGATGAATATAAGCCAAGTAAATGCTGCTCTTCGGATACAACTGCTCAGTATTCAAGGCTTCACAGCTTAAAATAGTGGCCGAACCAGAGGGAAGGGTAAACAGTGAAGCTGGATCCACGAACAACTCCAATCCGAAACCAAGCAAAGATCCTAGATCCACCTACTACAGCGACTCTCATCCTGGCACAGTCGACATTACATGAGAACAAATCTGTGAAGTATGCCATACCGGCACATGTGATTACATCGGTTACCGATGTCAGAATGACTATATACACGTCCGCTGCCGGTGCCCATACTCCAGGAGTAAACTATATGGCTACATCTGACGTGATCAAGCAGTGCACCAAAAGCACCAAACATGCGCCCATCACTCCACCGAAGGTTCAAATTCCCCTACTTCACAAACCAGTTACTTCAAAACAATCCCATGAGCCGCTGACGATTGCTTGCTTCAGTGTTCCTAAATCTAACGCGAACTCCTTAGAAGATAAACTGTTAGACGATGGAAAATAGTTTGATTCCACATGCCTACTTGTAGGCATCCAAGCTAAACCAGCTGACTTGGTACGTATCGTAGGGCACCGAAACGCGACCCATTACAAGGAACCACTGTTACGCTACAATCAACAAACGATATTGAGGCGGTTCTTTTGTCTGCCACCCACCTTCGGACTGACCTTATGCGAGATTCGGTTTTTCCCGACGTCCCTAGGAGCCAGCGCTAATATAGAAAACAGAACCTTGATGACTGCGGCCATCGGAACAACGAAAAGTTGATATTTATACATGGTGTACCGGAGCTTCAAGCATCTAATGAATGTGAAACACAAGCCCATGATTAGGAAGAATGAAGCTACCTTCGTGAAACGCACTCACTTAACGACGTGATCGCCAAATCGGTCATAAACCTACCCCCATCATCAATGTACATGGCTCCAAGGTGATGAAAGTTGTGCTCCAATCCAAACACATGGCGGAAAGTTCACTCGAAACCCGGCGTAATTGGCGTAAGAAGCTTTCCTCGGATCTGCGAATAAAAGCGTTCAACACCAGACTCAAGATGACCAAGAGAGAGTGAGCAAACTCACCGGAGTCTGACAGTGAGCCTGATAAGTCACAGTTTCGAAGCGGACCGCTGAGGAATACAATCAACTGTTGAAGCGACAACGGCTTTCCCAATACTTACTGAAACCGGAATTTCCTCCTGTGACCTTTCTACCGACCAATATGAAGCGGCTCAAAGTTCAGTATCCGTGATTCACTGAAAATATGATCAGTTGACGACCTCGCAAGCGTCGGTACACTCTCAGATACACTTCTAACGTTCGAAGCACTCTCTTGCATGTATACCAATGCTCAGGGCCTGTACAACAAATTATCCGAACTTCATCCTCGCCAAGCCTCGATGTCAATGGACCTGATAATGATAACTGTGACTTGGCTGTACAATGAAATCACGGAAGCGGAGGTTGCTCTACCTGGTATCTCCGTCCTATGTAAAGATTGACCTATTGGGGGAGGTGGCGTAATTTGGTACTACCGTACTGATATTCCTTTCTAAGTCGTTGACGGCCTATAGATTCAAGTTGTGAACTCACTGTGGTGCCGCTTGCAACTGAGACGTGATAATACATGTTTACTTGCTCTCGTATACCGTCCTCCTATGTCGACTCGGGAAATGGACATCCGTGTATCTTCTGCACTAAAAACCATTCTGGCTCAACCTAACTCTCACGTTTTCCTTGTAAGGGACTTCCATGCACTAGGTGTTCCAGCCTCACCTGGCGAGCAGTTTAAACTACCACTACAAGAATTAGTCCCTGGTCTCCTATTCCATATTTACGTAAGTTCTCCAACGGGATTAAGAACGGGGAACAAGCCGGCCATTTTGGACCTAGTTTTCACCTATGGGGAACTTATGGTCGAATCAGTGAAAGCGAGTGGTCCTTAGGGGCGCAACATTGATTTTCCGCTACGTCTTCTACGCTGCACAGTCCAACAGGTGAATCAAAGT